GCACGAAATCACACACATTCCCAGCTCCATATTAAGATAAAAATTCTGCCCTTTGCACCAGAAGGATGTTAGATCATGCAAGTATCATCTCCAGGTGTGACCTATGCTGCTCGGAATCTCCACACCTGAACACACCAGCAACAACCATTGGATAGCAATCAGATGTGCAAACATCAGTTGATTTTCCTACCTCATTAGTTCCCGGGATACGACATTCTCGTGTGTACTCAAGCTGTAGTCAGCTGACTTAGCATAGCAGAGTATGTCTCAGTTTGACAATATGCAGTGCATTTATTGACTGAGACTTCAGAAAAAACCCTCCTTACTTTCTTAATTTATTTTTACCCTTGGCCAAGGTGCTGGGGCTGTTTACAGTTGATCATTTGAAGTAAAATCATTCAAGACTCATTTATCCTGTCCCCAAATACTATGTTGTTATTCCATCCCAACAGTACTTTTAGAATTATAGCACAATGAAGTATTACAATGCCACAATCATTATTTTGTAAGAAATCACTTTACAGCACCTGTTTCTTCACTCATTCCGAGATTAGACATGAAACATTTCATTGCAGCTCTTTTATTTGTGGCTCAGGTCAGACAGAACAGCAGTTTGGATGCTACAAATTGTCCCAGTGTCCTTTAGTGAAAGAAGATTAAGCACGTACAAACCATGACTCTGGCTAGGCCTTATGGTGTCTCCAGAAAATAATCTTGGAGGGGCAAGGGGTTAGGAAATGATCAGCCTTGCCTGTCATAACTTACTGTGCAAGAATACCACTGCAAAACCCATTATCTATGCTCTCACACGGAGACTATTTACTTATTGGGATTATTGGAGGATCTTCCTCAACCGTGGAAAAGGTCAAGGCTAAGAGAAAAGTCAAAACCTTTAAGAGGGTCGGGAGAAAATGGAAGACAGTTGTCAAAACTGATTAAAAATGTCAGCGGAAGTGAGCTTTTCCAGAAATAACATAAGGAATTTTCCACAATGTGACTATAGTGAATGGTTAGGCAACTAGACGTACAGGATTCATTTCAGGACACGATTAAGATCACAGAGTTGGAGAGTTAATGTCAGCTTGGCTTTCAAAAACGGCCGTAAGACAAAATACAGTATTATTTTTCAGGTTGGAAGTGATGTGGTGGTGAAGTGTTAGGAAACTGTCATTTTTGATAGCAACATAGGAGCATGAGTTGGTCTTTCAGCCCCTTGAGCCTGCACGGCCATTTTAGCCAATGTCTCATCATTGACTTCATCGTTACACTCCCATACGCCATGATGTTATTGGTAACTAGAAACATATGTGCAAAATTTAGATATTGGAATAGAGAAAAATATTTTAAATGGCCTGATGCTTCCAAGCTTGGTGTTGTGGCAAACAATGAGAACAAAACAAATCAACTGTAAAAAGTCATAGGCGAGCAAAAGAGGCAGATAGAATTTAACAACAAAAAGTGAGGTAATGCATTTTGGCAGAAGGAATACGAAGGCTCAATACAGATTTAATGCCATATTTCCAAAGTGTTTGTGGGCTCAAAGGGACTTTGGAGACCATATGCACTAATTCTTGATGGTGGTAGAATATTTTATTAGACCAGTTAGCAAAACTGCATAAATAAAAGTATTGAGAACAAAAGGATGAAAGTTATGCTGAACGTTATAAAGTTCTGGTTACCAACAAGTGGATTACTGCACCATGTCTTACCACCACACTTTAGAAAGGACACGAGGGTTCGGAGGAAACATCCCAGAATAGTTTCAGAAATGAGGCATTTTAGCTACAAAATTAGGTTGAAGAAACTGGGTTGTTCTTCTTCGAAGACAAAGGAGACTGAGGAGAGATTGTTAAAAATTTCATCATGTGATGAGGATGCTGATGGCTAGGCCAGCAGTTATTGCTCAGCCCTAACTTCTCAGAATGCAGCTCACAGTCAACCAGATTTTTGTTGGTCCAGAGTCATGAGTAAGCAGACCAGGCAAGGATGGCAGATTCCCCCCTCTAAAGCATATTTGTGAACCAGATTTTTATTTTTATGACTATTGACAGTGGTTACATAGGCACCATTAAACCAATTTTTTTATCCAAGATTTTTAATAAATTCAACTTCACCATTTGCCATGCTGAGATTCAAACCCTTCTCTCCAGAACATTAGCTCACCATGCCACCACTTCCCATTGGGTGTACATGATTATGATGGCTATAGGTCAGGTAGACAAAGACAAGTTGATTGAATAAATAGGAGGAGACACAGATTGAAAGCTTTGGGAAATAGGTGCACAATAGTTGTGAGAAATAACTTTTTAGGCAGCAAGTGTCCTGGAATTCACTGCCTTTGCGAGTGATGGAAGTAAAGATGAATAATGATTTCGTTGAATGAGCTCTTAAGGGAAATAAACATGTTGGATTACAGGAATAGAGTAGGGGAATGAGAGTGACTCAATTGCTCTCTGGAGAACCATTCACTCAATGGGCTGAATGGTTGCCTCCTGTGCTGTTAAACCTATATGATGAGTCAAAGACAAATAAAAGTAACCTTGGATAGTGATAGCCCATTTTACACCCTGCATGATATTCATTTATGTTCCAATTGAAATAAATGTGTATGTGTAGAAAGGATCATTGATTGCCCATATTTTGCTGTATACCCAATAGAAATTTCACCCCAACCGTCTTATACCTTCCATTTATTTTGCACTGTTCCAACAGAGTTTTACAAAGCTGAAAGAAAATTGCAATTGTTGTCTAACGACATGGCACATTGTATGAACACTCTATTTCACAGAATGATAGGATTCACCTCCGTGACCCGATTGTAAACTGCCCAATCTCAGCCACGATAAATAATTGCTTTCCAATGGAGAAAGATTGTAGGGGAAAGCTCCCATTGTTACAGATGCAAACTTTACAGCATCTGGATAAAAAGTGGAATTGCGAGAGGCAAAACAAATGAACAGTATGGCTAATTACTATGTTGGGGAACTATGAATGCTACTGGCGTTGAGCTATTGAGAAAAGAAGGAAACTAACTGCAACAGCTTTTATTTGGAAAAAAAGTATCTTTGGGAGAAACTAACAGGTAAAATAATGCGAAAAATAATTTAGACCAAAGGAGACAACATCCTCTTCGCTACAGTTTTAATGTGACAGTGTGAGCAGTTCCCAGTGATTGTGTCCCTGACAGATTAGCCCAAGGGACAAATGGATTTAGCATGTTCCTTGAAAACTTTCCACTGAATATAAATCACTCACTGAGACGAAAGCAAAAATGGAAATCTTACCAGCTTTACAGAAATATATACAGAATCTTTGCAGTAATTTCTGTACTGACCTGATTTTAAATGAAATATGTGCTATAAGCCTCAGGAATTTTGGTTGGTATTATTGTCTGCTCTGCAGGTTAAAGTGCACAGTATGTGCATTAATTCCTATTCGTTGATGTGTGAATCTGACCTGAAAATATGAACATAATCCCAGGTCTGTTAAAATGTCTGAATACGTGTAAAGATACAAAATGGGCTCTTAAATATTTATTTGGATGGTTGAGTGCATTTTTGTCGCTTTCTAAATGGCAAAGTGTCTGTAAAAATGTATGTATAATTCTCAGAGATAGTAAGAACTGCCGATGCTGGAGTCAGAGATAACACAGTGAGGAGCTGGAGGAGCACAGCAGGCCAGGCAGCTCAGAGGAGCAGGAAAAGTGCCATTTCGGGTCGGGACCCTTCGTCAGAAGAAGGGTCCTGACCCGAAGCATCAACTTTCCTGCTCCTCTGA